AAATCTAACTTTCCCTAAACTGAGGATAGCACTTTTCAAAGCCAAAGATAACATTTTACCAAATACTGCAAAACCCCACTAACCAAGCATGCATGCCCATGTAATTGAATTCATTTCTCATATATTATTATGCTGTACGTTCTATAAGGATGTTAGATCTGCTTATATTTTGCTCATATGTAAATTCCCAGAAAGGCTGGACAATTTCTATGCGAATCTTTTAGAAGATTCAGAGTACTTTAAAACTTGTGCTGAAGCCAAATTCTGTATTGCCACAATAAAAAGAAGGCATAACTGGTCACAGAAATAGCCACTTTTGTTTTAATCATCATTTCAGGTTTAATATATGTTAGCTATTTTGTTTTAGGTGACATGTATACTTACCTCATAGATTATAATATTTTAAATATACACTGGTACAGGTAACTAACACCATTATAATAATGTAAGTTACATTTTCAGTTTAGGGCCCTTTTTATTGTGCCACTATTTTATCTCACCATTTTATTTTATTTTGTGTTGTATATTTTTATATTTTGTTGGTCTGACTGAACAAAGAGTATGTTATTTCATTTTTGGTAGTGCTTTAGATGTGCAACTTATTAGCTAGTTGATTGTGTGTTATTGGAACATTTATGCCAGAGCACACTATTAAAATCTTTTACTTTATTTTTGTTTGTTTTTTTAAAAAATTACTTTATACTAAACCATTCCTAAATTAACTTGTTTGAAATAGCCATGGAATAAGGCTGTTTTCCGGGGAGAAAGGAAAGGAAAAGAAGGAAGGAAGGAAGGAAAAGAAAGAAAGAAAGAAAGAAAGAAAGAAAAAGATGTAAATACTGCTTTTAAAAAGTACTTTGGACTTTCCTTTTAAAGATGAACTGATTATTAAGAAATTATATTTGACTGGCTTTCTTACCTTTTGGAAGGCATCTTCATCTCATTGCTCATAGATAAATATGATTATGTTTAATTTAATGGCAAAATCTGTCTTTCAGGTTTTGATTAATTGACTTTCAACTGCCTTCATTGGAAAAGTTGGGATGCGTTTAGTGATTTATCTACCTTAAAAAGCTCATCGGCACAGAATTTATTTTATGAATTTTATATTATAAACTTTTATGATAATTTTATATAATAGATTATAAAATTTGCCACAAGAGTCATAGGTTCCAGATTTTGGACAAATACTGTAAGTTAGTCCATTTGAGGTTCCTTGGTTCAAACACTGTTGCCCTGTGATGCACCATTTTGCCCAGTTAAAAGTTATGGGAATGAGAGCTTTAGTATGTAGATAGCTTTTGGTTGTATTTACATAACATGATTAATCTAGTTGACTTATTTTCTTGTTTGTTCATTAGATAGAACTATAAACTAACCAAATATGCTAGGCATTCAAACAATAGCCAAAACTAAAAAATCTAATCACAGTTAACATTAACCAAGCTTAATGTACTTATCCATATATATCTGGTACATTTTTTCTAATCCAGTGTTGAATTGGCACAGCTACTGAAATACAACAATAATGGAATAGTTTACCATAGTAGAAATGTATATATAGTAATTTCTAATAGGGCAGAAGTCCCCAATCTTTTGGGCACCAGGGACTGGTTCCGTGGAGAGAGGTTTTTCCGTGGACTGGAGGGTGCATGGTTTTGTGTGCTGCCTGCATCTCATGGCTGGGGCTTTGCTTGTTTGTGCGGACCAGTTGCTGGCATGCCATGGACTGGTACTGGTCCACAGACCAGGGGTTGGGGACCCCTGTAATAAGGCACACTAGAAGAAAAATGCACAATTTGCTCTTTTTAAAAATCCAGCCTATTTCTTTCAGAAGTGAGATTTGCAAATCATTCCATCGTGCTGTAATCCAACTCATGATTTATCCAGTTTGCCTCACCATCTGTATATCCAAAAGGCATTTAGTATAAAACTAGAGCTCACAGGATACATTCAGCCAATCATCACTAACTGAGCTCTGACAATGCCTAACAATCTGCACTCATTGTGTTTTGGGCTTGTCAGTTGTTACATTCTTTTTTTTTCTCTGCACCTGGTAAACCTCTAGTACAGTGCTTTGTAAATTAACAAACTTACCTTTCCTCATTTTTTTATAAAAAAGAGGGAGCCGGTGGATCTGCGCGGCGATGGCGGCTACTTTGTAGCCGTCCTGGGTAAGTGTAATGAATCGCTATGAACAGCGTACATCAGCTGTTCTGCGGTTCAAAATCCCCCTCCCGGGCAAAGGGGGGGGGAAGAGGGTTGTCTGAATAGTGGTAGAGCCTCTTATGTACCCCCAATTTCTTTTTTGGGGGGGTGACAGTGCTCCCACGGAGTTCAGACTGTCTCCGCTTCCCAGCTGCTTTTGTCCCTAGGGACAAAACAAGCCGTTGCAACCACCTCCGCGCTTAAAGGGACCTGGTGAGTTTTTTTTAGAAGCGGACAGAGTTGATTAGAGGATTTACTTTTTGCTTTCTTTGATTTTATATGTATTTTAAGCTTAAAGGTTTATTTTCATGTTTATATTCTCTCCTTTTACTTTTTACTTTGTGCTGAAAGGGAAAGTAAAATGGCGATCGGCAGACTTTCTAGCTTTTTTTTTTTGGGAAGTTAGAATGGCGATCGGCTTCCTTACTTTCTCTTTTTTTTCTTCTTTTTAATGATTGGATGGATTTTAGAAGCATTATTATTTTTGTTGTTTAATTTTTTAAACATTATTGTTTTTGTTTGACTTTTTTGCTTTGTCTTTTGTACTTTTAAAAGGCAGGCTTTTTGGTGTTTTTTCTTCCCCCTTTTTAATGATTGGAACGGATACTTTAATTTCTTTTTTCTTTTTTCTTCTTTTTTAACTCCCCTTTTTTATTATTTTAAATTTTTGTAATTCTCAAGAAGGAGTAAAGTTTTTTTTTTTTTAAGATGGCTCCAAAGCGTCTAGGGACTCTTACAGTTCCTAAATCAATAGTTTCACCCTCTTCTGTGGTTCAACCAACAATCATGAAGGATTTGCAAGATATGATGGGAAATCTCACAATTCAAATTAGGGCAGAAATGAAAAAGATTTTAGAGGAAAATAACAAGATTTTGAGGCAAGACATAGTTTTGGCTTTAAAAGGAGTTGCTTCTGTTATTGAAAAGTTGAACTCCTGTGTGGAAGAAGTAGCTGAAAAAGTGGAATTAATGGAGGGAAAAATTGAAAGTATGGAAAAAGAAATGGAAAATGAGATTCTTATGCTTCAATATGGACAAATGGAATATGCCTTAAGAATTAGAGGCTTGGGAGAGTCCTTGCAAGGAGATCTGAAAGAGATGGTTGCAAAGGACTTTGCTGTGATTTTGAATAAAGAAAAAAAAGAAATACTTAGTGAAATTGAAAAATTATTTCGAGTTAACTCTGTGGTGGCAGTGCAAAAGAATTTGCCAAGAGATGTGGTAATCTACTTTGGGAAAAGATCTCTACGCAATGAAATTGTACAAGCTTTTTATAAAGAGAGATTTCAAATCGCTTCACAAGATGTTATAATTTTAAAGGAGATCCCATCTAAAATTTTAAGAAGAAGAAAGGAGTTTGCTTTTTTAGCAAATGAACTTAAAAAGAGACGAATTTCGTTCAGATGGGATGTTCTGATTGGAATGGTGGTGAACTACCTGGGGATATCTTATAGACTTAATACTGCTTCTCAAGCAAAAGATTTTTATACTTCGGTCCTGGGGGTATGTTCATCGTCACCTAGTAAGTTTAAAACCTTGGAAGAAAAGAATGTAGAAGTACAGTTTGAAGACTTTAAAATTGGGGAACCACTGCCTGAGAGGTCTCAACATGTTCAGATTGAGGAGCAGAAGATAACTTGTGTAGCATATAACTGTAAAGAAAAGCAACAACAGAAGAAGATCAAGGAAGCTTCACATCTAGTGGTTTCTGAATCTGTGGGAGAAGCAAGACTTATAAAGCCTCTGGAGCAATCTTCAAGGATGGAATTGTTGTCTGAAATGAAAAATGGGAAATCTCAGCTTGAGGAGTCTCAACAAGTTGAGAGGAAGGGGCAGAAGACAATTCGTGCAACACATAATTATAAAGAAAAAGACCAACAGAATAAGGAGTTTAAGGAATCCCCACATGTATTGGCTTCTGAGTTGTTGGGAGATTCAGAAATTTTGAGGGAATCCTTAAAGGCAGATCTCAAAGAATTTCTCTTGAGTTTGATAAAAATTAGAGAATGATAAGGATGGAGAATGAAAATGGACAATCGAGATTGGTGGAATTTGTTATTGGTGAAGATTTAAATTTTTAATGTGTTTATTGTGGATGGAATTTGTTATTGATAAAGATTTAAATGTGTATAAGGGATTTCTTATGTTTTAAGTAATGTTTAAATTTGTGTTTTGGGGGAGTTTATAAAAATGATAATAATATTAGCATGATATTAGAAGGTTTGGAGTATACTATAATGTGTTTAGTGTTTGGGTTTATTTTTTTTCTAATTATTATTATTATTTTTAAGATGGAACGATTAAATGTGTATAAGGGGACTCTAAGGTTTTAAGTTTTAAGTAATGTTTAAATCTGTGTTTTGGAGGGAGTATAACTCGTTTAATTAAACGTATTTAGATTTGTTTATGATTTAAATTAGATTTTATATTATAGTTATAGATGTTCAAAGAAAGTAGTGTTTAAAATTGTGTTCTGGGAGGAACTTATATAGAATGATGGATAATATTATAAGTATGATTAGAAGATGTTTAGAGTATATTATAATGTGCTTAATGATTATTACTTTCTAGAGATAATCTATTTAATTTAAAATATCTAGACTTGTTTAGGATTTATATGTGTTTTAAGTTTTATATGTGTTTTAAGTTTTTTCTTTTTTTTCTTCGAAATATTTTGGACAAGCCTGTAATCAACTCTGGGAGGTCCAGGGGAGGGTTAGGGAGGTTTGGGGAGTTGGGGGAGGGTATGGGAGGCTGGGGGGGGGTTGGGGAGGGGATTTGTCTTGTAAAATTTCAAAAATTTTCAATAAAAAAAAAAGAGAGAGAAACAAAAAATCCTTTGGACTGCTGGCAAACCCTGCGAAATATATTACCCCAGCGAATCTCCAGAGAATAGTAATTCAATGAATTGAGGCTATATTGCTGAGTTGGGTGGAATCTCAGAATGTGCATGCCAAATTAAGAAATAATATACCTGAAAATATTTCCAGTATTTAAATATACATTACAAAGAATATTATGCTTTAGAAATCTTGAACATATAAGTTGCTTTTGTTGTTTAAAATATGCAACTTTTGTTAATTTTCTCAAAAGTACTCTTGTAAAGATTGCTCATTCAAAATCTTCACATAATCTCACTTTAATATATGATATTTTAATATACTCAGTTGATAGAGTTTGTCTTTTGACTTTTATGTAATTAATATTTTATACCATTTGTGTCACACGTTATTGTGCAAATTATGCCATTTAATACACATAGTATATTGCCCAGGCTGTTTTAAATATGAAAGAACTTTTTTGTTGCTTGGGGGTAAAATCTGAAGAAAATTTTGTCCATTAAAGTACCAACATTAGTCGTATATTGTAATGTAGCATTAAAGCAGCTTTGAACTCTGCATAGTCTAAAAATTGTCTTCTTAACTATATGTGGATATTTTGCATGCAGCCAGCTAAGTAACAGTATATGTTGATTGGGCAAGAATGTGATTTATACAGTTTTCTATGTAGAACAGAGGTTTTTTTCTTTTATCTGCAAGGAGTTATCCATCTTTATCAATTGGATTCTTTCAATTGCCAATTTAAATAAATATTGTATTAATAAAGGGACAATTCATGCAATGGACTTGATATTTTTCACCCAAGGGAAGTTATTTTGCATATGAAGACATCTGGATTGTTGTTCTGCCTGACTATTCAGTTTCTGTCAGCAAAGACAAACAAGACTGACAGAGATTTATATGTCTTTTGAATAAAGACTTCTAGTGCTTTTATTTAGAACTAAAACATTCTCCTCTGAATTCATCAGCTTAGGGGGCTAATATTTTCCAAAAATTAAAAATGCAGGCATAAGTTTACATATGTAAAATGTATTTTTTATTTGATTTGATTTGTATTGTCTGTTGTTCTAGCATAGATGTAGGCAACTTTCTTATGGTTAGATCTGTAGTTTAAATGTATTGATCTCAGAGCCAGCAGAGGATACCAACAATTTGCCCATTTCTTTAGGGTCTCTCTGGGGGTAGTTGAGGAGGTATGGGGGGAAGAACTACAAAAAGGTACCAAGAAATGTAGCATAAAAATATAGTATATGGCATGACTTTATGCCACAGCCAGACCATAAGCCATTCTGTTCCTTACTTTATACTAGGAAACATGTTCTAGTTACAGACAGAGATATGCAGAAATGATAGTATATTTTAACTGCTGAAATCTAAAATGAAGTGAACCTGCATTTAATGTTATTTTCCCTTCACAAATAGGAATAGATCCCTTCCTTTCTTCCTCCCTCCCTCCCTCCCTCCTACATCTAGATAAAAAAATTTCAACACTACTTTCCTCATCTTACTAACCAAGAATTCTCACAAATTACTTATATACAGTATTAAGATATATTTCTCTCCCTCTTCTAGTACAAATAGCAAAAAATAAAGAAAACATAAAAATAAAAAAATGGAGGCAGTGGGTGGCAGTAGCTGCACTGGGAAGGAAAAAGAATAAGATAGAGATGGTGAAGGGAGGAGATAACTAGACAAGGGGGGAAAAAGGTAGAAAAATCCAGGCATTAAAAAAAGGGTTAATTTTCCAAGTGAGGAGTCTTCTAAGCAACAACCAGTCTTCAGTGGCATCTATATTTTCAAAGAACTATAACTGAAAAATTATCTAATATCATTCTCAATATTACCAGACAAAATGCCAAGATAGGACGTAGTCCCAATTTTTATATTTATTTTTAACTATGTGCAAACATAAATATAGTGGTTAATTAGTAACAGTCATCTATAAATGGAAAGCTGATCGTTGTTGAGTTTGAAGGTTCTAGCGCAGAAGTGCAGTTATATATTCTTGATCATTCTTCATATACTATTTATATCTGAAATGGATGTCCACTTCCACCAAGCATGCATCTCAGGGGAATATGGAAAAGCAAAATAAGGAACTTGACAGCTTCATCTGTCAAATCAACCCTGGCCATCAACAGATTAATAGCACACCTTTATATCCAAAAGTGAACATTATTTTTACAGCTGCATTTAGAGCATGCATATGTACCAGTTTTAAAAAGATTAATAATATATATTGTACTTGATGCAGAATCAGGTACGATATACACATTTACTATGTGGGATGTTCTTTTTATATGGACAATTTACCTTTAGCATAGCATCTATGTTGCCATTTCACTTCTTGCCCAAGAAGCTTCTTCAGTTCTGAATAGTAGGGAATGGAAGGAGTTATATTCTATGCAGTCATCTGGTAATTAGCACTCTGAAAGTTATCATTAGCTCTCTGAGAGTCGTTGAGGCCACTTGGGGGTTAATCTGTATCCTCAGAGTCATCTGAATCAGAGTGCAAATGGGTGTAGAAATTCTTGGGACTGCAGTCTCATCCAAGAAGTGAAACATTTCCAAGGAATAAACCAAGAAAGTCCAGTTTTGGAAAAGCACCTTTGCGATTTTACGAGGGATTTATTCAATTTATATAACCACCCATTATTGTACATATTTATTTGTAAGATAATCAGTACTTGCATGCTCTAGAAATACTATATTTAGAAAGTGATACATGATTGAAACCCAGCCAGGCTGACAAGTATGCCTTACTTTCTTCATCACTTGGTATGTTGCAGGGAGAGTGGTTACGATTGTCATGTGATCTGAGAAGCCAATTGATTCTGATCCAGTTATTTATATAATAGCTGTTTCTATCCTGGTTTCAGAGCACTTCATTGTAGGTTGAGATTGCCTGGAAGTCTCCCTGAGCTTCTCTGCTTTGGCTGTTATTTACTTATTTTGCACATAGCAGCAGATCTTCCATTTCACTGTGCCTGGGGAAATGCAATACTTATTGAGTGAGTTGACCCTTTGATTATGTCTTACACCATTCATTTTCTACACTGAATCAAATGACTTCATACTGACATTTCCAAGGTGATAGCAATAAATGTTATTCAATCTCTAGCTATGAAGGAGAATTCTAAAATATAATTTAAATGAAATAGGTTCCCTGCAGTTCAAAGTACAATAGTTAAAATAAATGCTATTATTCTTCTACAGTTGGGACATGAAAAAATAGAATATATAATGAATGTAACAGGTAAGATAGAACAAGATATTATTCCACCAGGATGTTTCCATCTTAAAGTTAATTTTGGAATGTAGCTCTTTGGTGACATTCATTCAGGAATATACTGTATCCTCTATTCTCTGTATATTCCTCCCATAAGGTTAATACATAGGTCTTGCCAATGTTTTTGCTGCATGATGTATTTTATTCCAATGTAAATAAACATATGATCCTAACTCTGGAAATAAAATAGCTTTATTATTGCAAAAGATTTAGTTTAGATTATACATATTTGAGCTATAACTAACTTTCAGTGGTTCAAAAATCAACATTTTGAGCAAAGGTAATTCTGATTATTCTTTGGGCCAAGCCGAGATTCATAATGTGTATAAATTAGGCAGATAAAGCACATTTGAACAAAGATTTCACATAATTTATCCTTTTTCTTGCTAGACATGAGTTTGAAAAAAGCCTTCGTGCTTCTTTCTCACTTGAAAATTTTCTTTTTATTTTTTCTCATTTCCACCCTTCAGAATTTCATCAATAATTATTTAGATACACTCAAGTTTTTCTGCCTTCATATGTTCTGATACCATAATATGCATGGCTTAGATATCAAATATTTGGATATCTCTTATTTGTAGAAAATGTCACTTCTTTTTTCAATGGATTCTGCTAGTGGGAAATGCCATATTCTATATTCGAGTGACTTCACACTGTATTCTTAAGAAAAATTAAAAAATTAAAACTTGGCTGCAACACTTAAATGACACTTTTTAAAGAGGTGCATAGTTATATTTTTAACAGCCAGCATGGTCTCTGTACAGGTTGGCTTGATTAGGTTCTCAGGCAATAAAAATCCAAAATGACCTGTATCACGCAATTCAAAAGCAAATGAATAGTGGATTCCGTTTTTATAAGCCCAATCCACTGAACTCCCAGAACTCACATCTGGAAAAAAAGAAAAACAATATATTTGGTTTAGGAAACAATTTGCTAATACATGGATCTACAACATTTGATGGGTGATCTCAGTTTCTCAATCTTCTGCAAAGGTTAAGATGGGCAACTATAAATTTTATAAATAAATAAATAAAATAAAAGGCCCTTATGTAATGGGGTAACTGCACTGGAAAGAGTAGGGCTAATGGCTTCTTAATCAATTACATTTTGTTACAGTTAGCTAGATCTTCAGACTGGATTTGGCCTTTTCATCTACCTATCACGTTCTTCCCGAAGACCTGGAATAGGCAGATGTGGATGTTTGAGGGTGTTAAATTATTATTATTATGGTTCATTGCATAGTTAGCTGGATATTCAGGCTGGATTTAACATTTTTATCTACTTATTGAGGCCTTCCAAGGACCTGGGATAGTCAGATATTGATGTTTGATGATGTTAGAGGTATCATTATAGGAATGTAAGCTGTTCCAAATAAAAGCTGACTTTTGCAATTGATTGAAAGTGAATTTGTCAGTGCTGAAGATACTCAAGTAGTATTCCAGTTGCTTTAGTATTGCACCCAAGGGGCCTATTCAGTGGTGGGATTCAAATAAGTGAACAACCAGTTCTCTGTGTGGATGCCGTTTCTGGAAGTCCGTTCAGGGTCTGGGCAATAAAAAATTAGCTACTGGTTCTGCTGAACTGGTGCGAACTGGCTGAATCCCACCACTGGGCCTATTACTATTGGTACTGTCTTTGTTTTCTTTTGTTGCAGTCTGTAGGGCTTTGTATATTATCTTCTTTCTCTCCTATTCTGCTGTCTCCAGGTACTGCCATGTCCACTATCCAGACATTTTTGTCTTTCTTATTGACAATTGTTAAGTCTTGTTATGTGGCAGGTGTCTGTCAGTTTGAATTCCAAAATCCCAGAGCACTTTAGCTGCTTATTATTTTAGGATTAGAAAAGTGTCTCACTCTCATCCTTAATTCCCCAACCCTCCAAAAACAACAGCATTTGTCTTGGGGCAATTTTTAGGGTTTGAAGACTGAAATGTGGAATGGAATGAGAAGTTTCCAGAGATCTCCATCTGGGGAAAAACAACAATGCTCTGGCAAAATTTGGCACTGAATTGCAAGATTGTTAGAAAGTAGCAAATGAGGCACTGAAAGTGTCATATGTGGCTTTCTCATCAGCATATTATCCTAAGGTTGTATTTAAGTTACATTTTTAAAAGAAAGATTTGAAAACCCCTAAATGTCCTCATCCCCAACAATATTTTAATTCCAACCCAATAAGTTTAATTTAGGTAGTCCTTGACTTACTCATTTAGTGACTATTCAAAGTTAAATGGCACTGAAAAAAGTGACTTATGTCAGTTTTTCACATGACCACTGCAGCATCCCCATGTCATATGATCAAAATTCAGTCTCTTGGCAACTGACTCATATTTATGATGGTTGCAGTGTCCTGGGGTCATATCCCCTTTTACGACCTGACAAGCAAAGTCAATGGGCAAGCCAGATTCACTTAACAGCTATGTTATTAAATTAACAACTGCAGTGATTCACTTAACAATTGTGGCAACAAAGATCGTAAAATGGGGCAAAACCCCATTAACAAATGTCTCACTTAGCAACAGGAATTCTGGGCTCAATTGTGGTAATAAACTGAGCAGTATTTGTATTCCTGCTCCTCACATACAGTTCTATAAATATATAATATTGTTCAATATTAGGTAGCTGCAGCAACACTTCAAATAAGATTCTGAACCAATGACTATAGTTGGTTTTTGACTAGCTGGCTGAAGGTCAGTTTTCAAATATTCATGATTGGGGCAAAGACAAAAAGAAATGCAACTTTATTTCATTTAAATGTAAATATATTTTGATTATTCTCCAGTCATATATTTAATAATATAATATTCCTACACATTTACAAATCTGCAGTTTAGTAACAACATTCTATGTTGTTTCTCTGTTTCTATAGATTGCAATCAAGGCTTTAAAAATATTTTTGAGTATTTTGAAGGCCTGGCCAAAAAAAAAAAAAGAAAAGCAAAAAGGAGCACTAATTTAAAAGAGAAGCATTTGTGCACTAAATTGTGCAATCCAAACCATGTCTGTTTGGACTGTGAGGTAAATATATATAGGATTATGTTGTTTTAATCATATCTTTTACATAGAAATAGCAATGCTCATTTTGTGAATGGTGGGGGAAAAAAGATTCTTCCCAAACATACTCAATATATGAGCTGCAATTTTATACTAATTACTTGCTTCATCTTCCCAGCATTAATCTGTACTCCTTGTTACATATTGTTACAAATTGCTTTTAGAAAAGCTAAAAGCACAACCACTACTCAGAATTCAGGAGTAAGTTGTAGTTGGTATTTACTTACTTACTTCCCTACTTACTTAATTAATATGCCCATCTCATCAGAGATTACTTTGGACAGCTTACAAATATTAAAACTAGTACTATAGTATTATGCTCTTCATTCAATATAATTTTAGATTTTAAAACCTTTTCTCTGTTACAGTATCATCAACAGAGGTTATTTTTTAAAAATCCAATTTGTCAGAGACACTTACACAAAATTCTGGAAGCAGGACCATATCGATACCTTATTCCATAAACTGACTGCAAGGCATTTACAGCATTAACAGCTGCAGATTCCTAGGAAATGATAAAGAGAAAGAAAAATCATCCCTTAAAGCATATTAATTATTATCTTCTTCATAATGAATGATACAGGACAAATATTACCCATTTTTTTTAGTTTTACTCTTCGTAACCTGTTACATCTTGTGCCCCCTACCACTACCTTTGTTTCCAAACATGAATCATTTTCATGAATAACCTTTCATAAAGTTATATCTTTCTGCTTATATGCATATCACTCATTATAAAGATCTGTGTACGAGAATATTATTAAAGCAACACCAGCATTAACAGAAGTATTGGAGAGGAAATTTCTCGCTCTACTGCCATGTATAAAGAAGAAAGAGAACCAGCTTTTCTATTCCCTCTACTAGATTATGTTAAGATGACTATCCCACACTGATTTGCCCAATAAGGGTCATTTGCCAAGTACATTCAATTGGTTTGGTTACAGGGGAAGTTGGCTACTTGTTTTAGGGTTCCAGCTCACTTTTAAATATTATCTCCTAACCAGGTTTAACAAGAGTATCATTCTGCCTATGAAAACAACAGATTTAGGGTGTTATCTCATGCAATATCTCATGAAAGAGTACAGAGAAGAGCAACAAAGATGATTAGGGGACTGGAGGCTAAAGCATATAAGGAACAGCTGCTGGAATTGGGTATATCTAGTTTAATGAAGAGAAGGACAAGGGGGTACATGATAGCAGTGTTCCAATATCTCAGGGGCTGCCACAAAGAAGAGGGAGTCAAGCTATTCTCCCAGGTGCCTAAAGGCAGGACAAGAAGCAACGGGTGGAAACTAATGAAGGAGAGAAGCAACCTAGAACCAAGGAGAAACTTCCTGACAGTTAGAACAATTAATCAGTGGAACAACCTGCCTCCAGAAGCGGTGAATTCTCCAACACTGGAAGTTTTTAAGAAGAGATTGGACAGCCATTTGTCTGAAATGGTATAGGGTTTCCTGCCTGAGCAGGGGGTTGGACTAGATGACCTTCAAGGTCCCTTCCAACTTTACTACTACTACTATTATTATTATTAATAATAATAATTTGTTTTCAGAATACTGTGTACACCTCAGCAACCAACCAACCAACCAACCAACCAAATATCTATCTATATCTATCTATCTATCTATCTATCTATCTATCTATCTATCTATCTATCTATCTATCTATCTATCTATAGAGAGAGAGAGCGCTTCTTGTGCTAAACACTAGAACTTGAAACAATATCAGAGCCAGTTTGATCTAGTGGTTAAGGCACCAGACTAGAAACAGGAAGACTGAGTTCAAATCCCACCTTAGCCTTGAAAATCAGCTAGGTGACCTTAGCCAGTTAGTCACTCACCCAACCTACCTCACAGAATTGTCTTGTGGGGAAGGAAAGGGTATTAGGTGTGTTTGCTGCTTTGATTTCTTTGTAAAAATAATAAAGGTGGGATACAAACAAACATAAGGTATATTCCAAGATGCAGATCTTTCAATACATAGGTTTATTATAAACAAACAATGAAGCATTTATAAAAGAAATGTAGTGACTGGTATATATCAAATACAAACCCTGTTTGTAGTGAATTTCAGATACAAATGTTTGCATTTATTTTCTCCTGTAAATGCAGTGCATTTGGTTTGAAGCTCCTCTTTAGATTATAGAGATGCTTTCTACCTGTCCCTTGTTGCTGTAATATTTTTCAGGCTGCTTGTTTCTGCATTTTCTGAACTAGCTTTTATACATCAGTTTTGATTATTGGTATGTACATTTTACTAGAGTTTAATGTGTTTTCAATGGAATATACTTAAAAATGAAAAAATAAATGGTTCAAAAGCAAATGACTTGCAGAGAAATATGTTACAGAATTTACCTTTCTATTTTATTTTAATTTTATTTATATATCCAATTTATATAGCTGCCCAACTCAAGAAAAGTTATTCTGGGCAGCATACAACAACATGTGAAATAGTTAAAATTATAAGCTGCTGGATAATTCAGAATGGGAATTTGTATGTCATGATGCTCTAATTATACAAGATATGTTACTTAAAAAAATAAATATTGTGAAAATAGGTATATTGGCTTTTATATAAAAAAATCACTAGAAATATACAAGGACTGTACAAGTACAAAAGGGAGATCTGCTTTGTAACTGGTTGTACTATTCATTAAACAATCTTCTATATATTAGTATTGATTTGAGATGATGTTTACATTTGCTTCATTTTAAAAACTAAAAAATATTCCATCGTATGCTAAAATTAATTAGAATATCATTAATATTTCATAATATTCATTTTTATAAGCTTTGAACACTTATTTCAATCTGAACTCCTGTCAAAAAGAATTCTGTTCATTTTAGAGGGATTTGTATCTCTGTTTTAAGAATAGTAACTTTATATGCATATTGTACTCCATTTAATGTTCATACATTGTCATGTAAAGGCTCATAGTTTTGAAATATGCTGACAAAAGCGTGTAAAATATAAATCATAACATTTACTATTCATGATAACCAATTAATTTTATATAACGTTTCCTCCTAAATCACTCAGTATGCAGCACTGTTACACTGTAATTACTGTTATGAAGTAATTGTTAAGATTGTCCTTTTGTTACTGTTTTTAGTAGCAGAATTATTTTTCCTACATTTGAATAACTGGGTAATCCTAGTGTTAAAAAATCTTTTCCTAATGTTCATAGCAATGTAACAGTGAAAGAATGGATACAAGATGTAATTGCGTAAGTATACATAATTAGGGTAAATACATACTTTGTTACAATATTATGTTGGGTAAGCTTCATTGGCTCAATTGCTACACAAATAACCCAAATGGCATGGTTTGGAAACTTGAGGATTATTTGCATATGTCATATTAAGAAAAATCAAATGCTATGCAATTTCTTCGTTAAATAAGTAAACCAATCTATGCACCAGTATCCAATCACAACACATTTGTGCAATCCCCAATTATTCTAATGGGCTGATACAGTTTCTAACTCAAAAAAATTTCCCAGCTGCCCAACTATATCTCAAAACGCAGGCCCTCACATCTACTCTGAAAAATGTTTCACTGAATTCAATTCATATACCCAAAGATCAATGAATGAAAAACTGCAGCAATAACCTGTAACTATAGCAACTATATATTACTACCCCATTTCTCATATCTACTTTCCCCTGCTCTATTTCCTTCTTACTAAATTATAAACATAGGACAGAGGTATGGTTTCTTAAATTTTATAAAGTAAAAATGCTGATGTAGCTATATAAACAATTAAGAGGACTAAAATTGTAGATATAATGGGAAGTGAAATAGCATATGATTATTATTATTATTATTATTTTTACTAACTGTGACTATGCTGCAGGGAGACACTTTTGTTCTCAAGAACAAATATATTCTAGGCTTCTAAATGGAGATTTGCCTGCAGTTCCACATCTGTGGGATGAGAAGTGCACTAAAAATTACTGACCTAAATGCAAAATCAGTTTTAATTTGGATCCATTTCTTCAGTGATTATATGCATATGTTACTGATTGATGAGCTGAGCTGAAAAGAGCTCAGCAGTAGTTCTGAATCTCAGGTCTTTGTAAAGAAGTGTAGAGAGCTATGCAACTTTTGGTTTCACAGTGTGATACTGTTACTGTATACTATACAATGTATAGCCAAAATAAAAACTTGTTTTTCAGTTTTGACTTCCAAAGTTTTAATTTGGGGAAGCTGCTTTTTGTGCTATATTTAACAAAGAGAATAACTTTTTAATGTTGCATGGCCTCAGAAATACCATTGCTGCTGATTCTTTGCCAGAGTCTATCTCAAATGATACAGTACATACAAACTGGCAACAAGCTCCAATGCCATCCTTTTGTTAAATTGCAGTAATTAGAATGACTTCACATATTGGGCTAAGTCATGATTTATTTTAACCATAGTTTGCTGAATTGGCTTACAATCATAATTACTGCATTGCTATGGCACATTAAAACTCAAACCAAACATGCTACATAGTAAGTAGTACACTGTGAAATAGGCCAGTGTAACTTTATATTACATGACTGTAGCAATTGAATGAAAACTTCCAAATTACTAAAAATTCCAACGAAAGGATATGTCTGCACTAGATAAAATGTATACAGAGAATTGTATATCCCTTTCTCTAGTTCCAAACACCTAAATAATTTAACATATTAATTCAGAGTGACTGGCAACACAAGTCTGTATTGTAAGCTGGACAGAAGGCTGTTTGTTTTCATCTCACAAATTATTAAAGAATCCTCTCCTAGCTAGATGGTAATATCCATGGAAAAGCTTTCATCTCCTGGCCAACATCAACATAAGATAAATCTGAGGAACTTGTGAAATTGGTCCTAAAGGAAGAAAAACTCTTTATGATCTTGCTTTGCTGTTCAATGCAGGTCACTGCATATAAGTTGAAACTGTATGTTGCTCAGTTGCCTGTACAAATGCATTGTCAGTTAGGGCATTTCCTATTTGTGCAAATGTTCTCAATGTTTGATTGTCACTTATTCTCTGCTGTGTTTTCTTCTGTTTGCCCAAAGGCCTAGAGTAACAAGCTCCTGTGACTTTTTAATGTTTGAACTTTGCTTTCCTGCTGTAGGCTGTATATTCATAGTGATGTACTCAACAAAGACCTGAGATTCAGAATTACTGCTGATGTACTGTTTAGCTCCTGGAGAGTAATACATTTAGAAAATGTTGGTATTTAAGGATTGCATTGGTTTGCACATTGTCCTGATGATACCCAACTCTGGAAAAGGAATTTTCTGTTGATTTTGCAAAGAAGGTGAAAACAATTCTTCCAATTTCACAATTGAAAAGGAGGTCAAAGCATCATAGTAGCTATGAGTAAATTCTCATAATATGCTCTTTTCCTCCATCAGGAAAGAATCAGAAATATGAAAAATGCAATTCTGAACATCTGCTGAATTTTGTTTGTAAACCACTGGTGAAATATCCAGATCTTCAGTGCTTTGCAAAAGGCTTAACGAGTCAGAATTTGAATAAACTCTATGCTTGAAATATCATGCAAAATGTGAATGCAGTAATGGAAATTTTACTAAACCGTATATTGGATTATTGCAATGTACTCTAAATGGACTGCCTTTGAAGACCATTGGAAATCTGCAGCTGATTCAGAGTATAGTAGCACAGGCAGTTATGAATGAACCTCAGTATACTTCTGCTACACTTCTGGTCCATAAGCTGCACCAGTTCCTGAAGTGCTTCCAATTGGAATTCAAGATGCTTGTTTTCATTTATAAAGCCCTTCAAATCCTGGGGCCAGGTTATTGCAGGACTGCTTCTTCCTGGCTGTTTCTATCTGTCCCACTAGATTTGACAAGAGGCACATGCTCCAGGTCCCTTCAAATAAAGAATGACAATTTATGGGATCTATGTAGCTTGCCTTTTCCAGGCCGGACTACTGTACTGCCCAAGATTAGATTGGCCCTGACCCATTAAATCTTTTGCAAAGCACTGAAGATCTGGATGTATTCCAGGACCTAAAGATTGGAAGTTTCAATGGCCTACTGAGAAATTTTTGTTAATCATATTGTCTGGGATCACTAACCACTTGTGGGAAGTCAGCGTCCCCCCCCAGAGAAAGAAATATTTTTTGAAATATTTAAAAGGCACAATATATTTCCCTAAAGGATTTTAAAAGCAGAAATCAACTCTGCCCCCAAGTCTCTCTGTCCCAAACAGAAACCAAGTCTGCAGAATTGCAGATGTGATAATCTTGTCAGAAAGACTGGAGTCAGGAAACTGGGATTAGGAAGAAAGATCCCTAGAATCAACAATCCCTCACACCAAAAATCTAAGAGTCATCAGCCATAGCCCCAAGGAAGCAAGATTGATCTTTGGGACATAATAGGATTAACCTACCACCATCAGAATACCAGAAAGGCACACTCAGACTCAGGTCAAAGTTCATGCCACAGGAACAACTCCAAACAAAAGGCTCAAGAGGTATAAAAACCCACTCCCTACATGTGCTCACTCTCTTTTCTTCCAGAGCCATCTTTCTGTCTGGCTCTCCTCTTCAATAAACTGCAACCTTCTTTCTAAAGTGGGTTAAAGTTGCCATGTTGTTTATTCCTGGCTTGGACTGAACCATGATGAAGACTTTTCCTTCAACACACTGTAGGCATTTACTTTTTGTTGAATTGTTTTTCTTTTTGTTTAGTTTTTTTTTATAGTTTTAACATCTTGTTAGCCACCTAGAGTCACATTAGTAAAGTGTCTTGCCACTTAAATCAATAAATAAAATGCTTCTAAAGTTTCTTTAACTAGCTTTGTATATGTCAGCTGTAATATGTTTCTTATTGAAAAGGCTGGTTCTCTTCTTGGAAGAATCATTAATCAAGTTATGGTAATATGTTTCAATGTCCAGAATAACTTTGTACATTAAAAATAAATATGGAATAGAATTCAGTTCTAACTGAAAACCAGTCCTGCTTAGTACATTAATTTTTACCTCATTCAAAATCAGCATTTCTTTAATGTATGGAATCTACATTTTAATTTATATGGATATCAAAGTGTCAGTATTTATTCTATTTACTGTATAGAATTTGTCAGTGATTTAAGCTGTGTTGACCATGATTCCTAATGTATATTCTTAGGTTAAACCTTAATTGTGACTCCTAATGCTGAATGATATTGTCAAGCCCCAAGGGGCTTGCCATTCGGAGGGGGGGGTGAGCAAACCATCCCACCCCCACCAACTTGCCTCGCCGACTGTACCGGAGCCAGCTTGCCACGACCCCCCAGCCAGCTGGAAACGGAGGAATGACCGGCAGCCTCTCACCCCCTCCCGAACGCCGTAGGAGGCGCCGCGGCTGCTGCCAGGCATCCCGCCGACCAGCTGGGAGGCGGGGAACACCCAGCAGCATCGGACGGCGTTTGGGCTTTCCCCACAGCCTCGGCTTTCCTCGCAGCTTCGGAAGACGGCCCACAGCTTCCCGGCGACCGAGCAGGAGCGGCGGAGCGGCCGACGGCAATGCCGAGGGGCGTGCATCCTCCCCCCGATGCCGCGGAGGGCACAGACGCTGGGCCGGCACACCTCTCCAGACAACACCGCGGCCTCAGCGTGGGCATAGAGAGGGAGGAAACACACATGACCACCGGACTGGCCAGAAAGGACCGGCCAGCGGCTAGACCGATAGATTTACCGTTCCAACCGGAGGCTGCGAACATGGGGCGGCCACAACAGGCGGGCGGACGCTGGACCGCAGGGGGTGGGGCTGCACGGGAAGAGGGGTTGGAGCACAAGGGTGGGGTTATAAGGATAATTAACTGGATGGTGGTTTGTGGGCGGAGGGTGGGGGTGTGGGCGTGGACACACTATAAGGAGCTCTGGGGAGAAGCAATTCTTTATTCACTAACTGACACCAAGTTCCTGCGTTCCTGGCCTTCAATCCGGACGATCTAGGACTATGGTTGTCAGTAAGTCAGCACTGGGAATAGCTTCTCCCCAGAGCTCCTTATAGTGTGTCCACGCCCACACCCCCACCCTCCGCCCACAAACCACCATCCGGTTAATTATCCTTATAACCCCACCCTTGTGCTCCAACCCCTCTTCCCGTGCAGCCCCACCCCCTGCGGTCCAGCGTCCGCCCGCCTGTTGTGGCCGCCCCATGTTTGCTGCCTCCGGTTGGAACGGTAAGTCTATCGGTCTAGCCGCTGGCCGGTCCTTTCTGGCCAGTCCGGTGGTCATGTGTGTTTCCTCCCTCTCTATGCCCACGCTGAGGCCGCGGTGTTGTCTGGAGAGGTGTGCCGGCCCAGCGTCTGTGCCCTCCGCGGCATCGGGGGGAGGATGCACGCCCCTCGGCATTGCCGTCGGCCGCTCCGCCGCTCCTGCTCGGTCACCGGGAAGCTGTAGGCCGTCTTCCGAAGCTGCGAGGAAAGCCGAGGCTGCGGGGAAAGCCCAAACGCCGTCCGATGCTGCTGGGCGTTCCCCGCCTCCCAGCTGGTCGGCAGGATGCCTGGCAGCAGCCGCGGCACCTCCTACGGCGTCCGGGAGGGGGTGAGAGGCTGCCGGTCGTTCCTCCGTTTCCAGCTGGCTGGGGGGTCGTGGCAAGCTGGCTCCGGTACGGTCGGCGAGGCAAGTTGGTGGAGGTGGGATGGTTTGCTGACCCCCCCCCCTCCGAATGGCAAGCCCCTTGGGGCTTGACAGATATATTGAAAAACTATCTCCATGCCCATGTAGATTCCTTATTTACTTACTTCGATATTATTATTTGTATTTTATCTTTTGCTTCTTTTTTACATATATTTTATTAATCTTTCAGGATTAAAAAAGGAAAGAATCAAAATCAGTGATGTGAAAAAAATTGAACTTCCAGGGCATTAATTGTGCAGTTTTGAGCATTACAAGGAATACCATTTCATCCTGGAAATGCAGATAGGATGACTGATGTGATCTGTATTGTACATATATGTGTATGTTTGTATATTTGTGTGAATATACTGTGTATGTGTGTGTTTATTAATAATACAAATGAAATAATACTAATTTGTCAGATACACTTTCTTTCTGCAGGATATCTCCTTACATGTTCTATAATTATCCAGTTGCATCTGTGTGGAAAATCTTTTATACAGCCCAATAGACATCTGCATGATATGCATAATGAACACATGTGAACCATAACATATTGGCCATTATAAAGAATAAGATTCCTCTTTCTTCTTCCCTTTACTCCTCTCAATGTAATCTGGCAGATTTACAATGAATGTATTTACATATCATGTTACACCATTATTTTTAAGTAAGTCACAATAAGCTATCTATATACAATAAGCTGGAGCTAAAACCACAGGTTACCAACCATGATACAGTAATTGGATTGTAGTCTAGTATTACAACTAAAATCAATTCAATCATATACAGTATTGACATAAAGCAATATGTGAACTAACCATTATATGTCAATGGCATTGTTAAAATATATTCGTCCTGTCTCCCTGATTTGATTTTCAAAGCGACTATCCCTTCAATCATTATAGAATGTATTTGTTGGAAAAAAATAGTAACTAATACAGTCATTTTAAAAAACTAGTTTTCAATATTTTTGGCTCAGCTAAAAATAGCTGTGTTTCTCTCCCCCTCCCCACCAACTCTGTTCCCTTACTTTGGATAGGACAACATAAATTTGAATTCCTATGCGGTTTCTAATTATTCACTGGCAAAGAAGGAGGGAGACTCAGAAGCATATTCTCTTCACTAAATTAAAAAGCATAATTGGTATGCAAACATGCAGAACTCTTCAAATTCTATACTTACCATACAACTAAAATTTGGAATAGCTGCTAACTTGTAAGAGTATGGATATAATAGCATTTGGGCATATGCATGAAAGGACAAATAGGCTTTTATCTGAGTCCGGTGTTTGCGAAGAAAATGAGCAACAGCTTTCACTTCTGGTTCAGATTCAGGGAATGGACCACAGTATGTATCATCACAGGGATGAAGGGAAGCACCTTCATCTATATGTTAGAAGGAAAGAAGTGATGATGATTCCTACAAAGTTAAACCTAACAAAAAAACATGGTCACAGGACATACATATGGTACTAGAATGAGGTTCTGTCTTCTGAACATATTAAGGAATTAAAATAATCCAGCTTTGACCAATGTCAATGGACCTAATCCCAACAGTACAGAAAATATTTTGATTCCAGGGTGGCCAATTTGGATGATGACAATGACAGGATGAGGTATAATAATGATTTCATGGGAATAGAGAAAATTTTAATCTTTTCTTGTCTGAAATTTAAAAGGCTTTTAAGGGTAAATTTGTTGCAGCAGAGCCAAAACATTTATTTTTCTTATTTTCCTAAAAAAAATAGTGGAAAGTTATATTCTTCTTATTTAGTATACTACATAATTGCATTGATGCAATTATGGGAGGGTTCAGGAAGCATAAAAAGATACTCCAAGATTACATAAGTTGTCTACTATTGTTCTAATTGGACAAAGTGGACTGGCACAGTTCAAATATTAAAACTGACTTGCATATAATTTTTTTAGCAGAAGAAAGGCATGCTGTATGAGTTAAAAATTATTTTCTCAGTGGGCCAAGACATAATTTAAACTGTTATTGTTTAAAATTTTGATTACAGCTTTAGCACTCATATAAATTAAAAGTAGAAGGGGATGGACCTTTTATTTGAGCCAACATGATTATTTTTTCTGAATGATTTGGTGATGGGAAAAAATGTAATCTAGTTTCTGATCAGCAATTTAGGAATATCCTTAACCATAATTAGTAACGGATTTGCTTCACATGAGAAATACACATCATAATAGTACACCAGAAACTTTTCTTTTGATAGACTATTAAACATTCTTGTCAAAATATTCCTCACATAATGAATGTCTTCAGTATTAAAAGAATGAGATAAAACACAATTTACCTTAAAAAATGAAAGTATCATGTAACTATTATTACAAAGTTTGCTTGATCCTTATTTTTTCAGCTAAGAAGCATTTACTATTAAAAGAAACTCCAGTAACTTGTAACTAAAAATGTAGATTTGTTGGCCCATATGTATTAATCACACAAAAAAGGCTTCATTTAGGAATAAGGAAACTCTGACCTCTAAATTTTATTGTTTACAGCAGTTTTAACCAACAGAACAAATGGAGGAATACAGTTTCCTTTCCTGATTAGAAAAAAAATGGAGATTTGGAAGTTTGTCAAGCCTGTGATGTTTTGTTAATTTGTCCTTGGTTGCCATTATATATTTTTACTTTGTATTTTGAATTTGTATTCTATGTACTCTAGAGCAGACATGTCAAACTCGCGACATCACGTGACGTCATGCAACGTATCGGAACTTTTCCCCCATTGCTGGCAATGGGATGGGTGTGGTTTTGTTGTGATGCATCTGGCCTGCAGGCTGGCAGTTTGACACCCCTGCTCTAGACAGAAAAAAAAGTAAACAGAACTGACAGAAAAATTATGCCTTAAAATTTAAAAAAACAAAAAACAAAATAAAAGGAACATCTGGATTTTGAGTCCTTTATTGCTCCAAAAATGAATTCTCATTTCTGTTTCTGTGTTGTGCTAAAATGTCATTGCCTCATACTCTTATTTGTCTGTGCAAATTAGGAACTGTAATTAATTGAGCTTGGAACTTACTTCAGCCTGTGTTCTGGAATTATTTATGATTAATTTGGAACTCTCCATCTCTTTATCTGGATCCATCTTCTTCCACATGAACCTATTTGTTAAGCTCTTTCTTGGAGCTTATGGAGAGGTCTGCTGAGAGGATACTCAAGAATGAATGATTTTGAATGATTTTCAAAGTCATATTTCTCTAGTGCAGGGGTATCAAACTGCCAGTCCACGGGCCAGATGCATCATGCAGAAGCTGGGCCCACCCAAGCTCTGGCAAGGGGAAAAATGTCGCGATATGTCAATATGTCACGTGATGTGGCAAAATTTGACACCCCTGCTGTAGTGTTTTCATTATTATATTTTACAAGCTAGCAAAAGTCCATCTTGTTTTTAAGATTTAATCATTGGTTTCTCCCTGACAATTAGAATTATTTTTAACTATTTTTATTTTTAGCATTTAGTATTCTTATTATTCTTTTATTTATTTTAGCTGTTTTGAAGTCTCAGTAATTAGGTGGGATTTGAATAAATATTTGTAAACAAGAGAAAGTTTGGATGTTTATTTGTATTGGGAAATCAGGATGGTCATATAACAGTTTGATCAAAAGTCAGACAAGGTTCCAATGCCAGAACTAAGAGACAAAGAGGGACTCTATAGTCAAAAGTAAAAAGAGGGATTTAATCCTTACTTAATTCCAACAATATCATCAGAGTGATAGTTATATATTTACTGTATATTTACCTGTACTATATACACATTGTTAATTTAATTGGCCAATGAGAAAAGAAATTCATATTATTTCTAGACTTACCACACCATTTTACTTTCCAGTTACGATTAGCATCTACTCCATGGCAGTGGAACTTTGAATTCTTTGATCTTGTTTTCCTCCAAAATCGATCCTAGGCATAAATTTTTAAATATGAAAATACAACATATATACAAATGAAACACAATGATATGCTTGTAACAAATCTTTTCACAGAGAGTGAGTTTAAATATTTAAGCTTTTTTTCCCCCAACACACTTCTTGAATATTAATATTCTTATATTTTTCATTAATACCCTGTTGAAATATTTCTTACCTGGGTCCAGCTAAAATGATATCCATCCACATTAAAAATAGGCATGATAAAGAAATACAACTGATTTAGCATTCTTCTCATGTCTGGGTCATTTTGATATGTCTGAAGTGCCTGGTACATAAAAATAGTTGAAATAATATGTGCAGTTCAGAGATTTTGTAATGTGATTTTTCAGAGATTCTAGCCCTCTTTTAATTTAATAAAATAACTATCAATGAACGCTTGGACAACAATTTATTAGTCTCCTATTTCCCAAGAGATTATTTGTCCTTATGGTTCTTATTGCCTGAAAAGATTACTATTAAGCTTCTGACATTAGCTAAACTCCTTCCTTGGGTGCCAGTGAGCGACCAAAATTAAACACATCGAGACACTTTCCCTCGCTAAAGGCCAGGTTAAAGAGACAGGACTCCATGATTCTTCTAAATAACAGCAGAGAAGATACATTTCCAGATCCTGAGAGCTAACATTATTTATCTGAAGAAACCCAGAGCACACCAGTCCTGCGGGATCAAATTGGCCATCTAGTTTTTTTTAATTCTAACTTTTCTAAAAATGCATATTCGTTTTTATTGTTGTTATGAAAATCTTTAATAAAATTACTATTAAGAAAATGGAATATTGGTTGGTAGCTGTAGGAAAGAGACTGGCAGAGCCAGAAGGAGGACTCCAAAATTATGACTCATTTAAGTCTTCCCCCTGGCTCTGCCAGTCTCTCTCCTAAAGCAGCTTGGCCAATGAGAAAAGAAAGAAGCTGGCAGTTTCATCAATGAGAAAATTGCTCACTTGCCTAGGGGCATCTCAAGCCTCAAAACTGAACTGAGAGAAGGAAGAAGCAGGCTGGATTCAGACAGGCTAGCTTGGAGGAGTTACTGTAGTCCAGGACAAGAAACTGAGTAGCCAAGAAGACAGCAAGAGAAATTGCCACACAAAATTTTTGCAGTCAGAGTTGTTGGGCACTTTGCAAAGTAGGAGCAGAATCAGTCTGAGTCAAATAGCAGGGAGCTTTTGAAATCTCATACACATTTAACGAGACTGTATAGTCTCTTGCATACAAACTGAATAAGCCTTTCTTGAAGACATGGAGAGAGTCATGTCACAGTTCAATAGCTTGCTGTGGTTTAAAGTTATTTATGTGTCAGTGAGATATTGTCTTATTATTTCTCTTATGCAAGTAATGAAATTTTTGGATTTTTCTTTATTGTGGTGCCCCAGGATGGGAGGAGAAAATAGCTCCTTAGAAACACCCCCCAAACGCACACACATCCGATTGGAGATAGAGCAGCAAATGTATTTAAAGTGAATGATACTGACAAAATGACACTTGGAACCTCTGGAAGAGTGTAATGGCACGTCGAGAGAGAGAACTGCAGGCTGGACAACCGGCATGTAAAAGATATTTTAGTCCTCAGAAGAAAGGAGGATGTAGGAAACATTTCAGAAGGGACCCTCCCTATTTTTCTGTAGAGTTAAAGGAAAGGTAAGAAATATTTTCAGTTTTGCACTATAATCTTAACATAAGCTTATAACGATATAGTTAGTACTCCTGATTGTAATTCTTGCTTGGATGATCTCACAGGGCTAACAGGGATCTAGTTTCTTGAACTCTTAAAAAAAAACAGCTACATTGCTTTATAAAATTATAACTGGGAAGGGAGACATGTTATTATTTCGGAGACTGAGAAGGCTGTTTCCAGCTCCCTCCCTCTTAACTTCTGAATAGAATAGAATAGAATAGAATAGAATAGAATAGAATAGAATAGAATAGACTTTGGAGGTCTTCTAGTCCAGCCCTCTGCTCAAGCAGGAGAACCTATATAACCTCTTAGACAAGTGACTGTCTAGCCTCTTTTTAAAAATCTCCAGTGATGGAGCGCCCACGATTTCTGGGGACAAGCTATTCCACTGGTTAATTGTCCTCACTGTCTGGAAAATTCTCCTTAATTCCAGGTTGCTTCTCTCTTTGATTAGTTTCCAACCATTGTTTCTTGTCCTGCCCTCTGGTGCTTTGGTGAATAACATGACCCCCTCTTCTTTGTGGCAGCTCCTCAAATACTGGAATACTGCTATTATGTCTCCCCTATTTCTTCTTTTCTTTAGACTAGTCAAACCCAAGTCCTGCAGCCGTTCTTCATATGTTTTAGTCTCCAGACCTTGGATCATCTTAGTTGTTCTTCTCTGATTTTTTTTCCAAACTCTCAACAACTTTTTTGTGATTTGGTGACCAAAATTGGCTGCAGTATTCCAGGTGTGGTCTTACTAGGGTTTTATAAAGCGGTACTAATACCTCGCATGATCTTGATTCTATGCCTCTGTTTAAACAACCCAGGATTCTATTAACTTTTTTTGGCTGCTGCTATACACTGCTGGTTCATGGTTAAGTGATCGTCCACTAGGAATCCAAGGTCCCTCTCACAGTTACTGTTTTTAAGCCAGGTTTTGCCCAATCTGTACTTGTACCTTTGATTTTTCCTGACTAACTGTAAAACTTTGCTTTTCTCCACACTGAAACTCATTTTGTTGGATAGGGCCCATTGTTCAAGTTTGTCAGGATTTTTTTGGATCATGAGTTTGTCTTCTGGGGTGTTGGCTATTCCTGCCAGTTTGGTGTCATCTGCAAATTTGATGAATTCACCTTCAATTCCCTCATCTAAGTCACTGATGAAGATATTGAAGAGTACTAGGTCTTCTGGTACCCCACTGCTTACTTCTCTCTCCATGTGAATGCAGAAGGGATTCTCAATCTGCCTATTTATCCAGCACAGACAGGGAATGAGAATCTAAGCCATAAAGAATCATTGCTAAAGAATAATGACCAGCGCTTTCACCTGGCTCTGGACGCTTTTGGCAACCAATGGACTTCTAGCAAAGTAGGTATTCCTCTGCTGTATTTGTGCTCATGAGATTTATTTATTTCTCAATCACATTTATATGGTTGCCCATCTCACAAAAAGTGACTGGGCAGCATTAGCAAGCATATTTCAAAAGACTAAATCGGTGAAGGTACTTTCTAAACTTTCCATAATTTTATGATAATGGCAGTTATCAAATATTGCACTCTTGCAGAAGCCGACACTGCAGCATTATTTATACAGTGAAAAGCAGGAATGAACTATTTTTAAGCAGGATTTTTTTTCAGTTTTATTCTTTTCGTTTGCTAATAGAACAGTATTTGCCTTGAAGCCAACAAATCACTTATCTTGACAGAAAATAATGTAATTTAATGTACTTAGTAGTTACAGTATCTGGGCTCATTATTCTAGACATCCAATTAGTATCTTACATAAACTCCAAGTTTCATTTAAGTAAGCTTTAATTCAAAGGCACGGCAAGCATCTGTAGTTATGCAGATAAACATGACTAGTATGCCTCCTTGTGGTGATGATAACATTGTACTGCACCCTGATTTTGAAGAAAATGCATAATAAATTAACATACTACAGGTATATAATGTGTCTATATTAAGGAAATCAAGGAGATATGTATTGCTCTGCCTTTCTCTATTGTTTACTATTATGAAATAATAATCACCAGTCAATAGACATGTATACCTCCATTTCCTTTATACTAAACTAAACACCTGAAAAGGACTAGAAAATAAACAACAACCCCCCACCTTCCTTGGCAGGAACTTTGGCACATATGTCAGAGGATAAGAAGATCTAAATTACTAACTAACTACAATAAAAAACAAACTATAAAATGTACTGTATATGGAAATACAATGAATCCAGGTAAAGCAGGTAAACGAGCTATGTGAGACTTATATTTTCTTCAGACAGTACTTTTTCTTAAGTGTTTGAGATTTTTTTAGGCCATAATCAAGTATTTTCCAAATAAAATATTATTGGGCTATATATCCTTCACGTCTAATATATTTACATCTTTGTAAAATTCTTGAAATCTTGATGATTGGGAGTAGACAATAATATTGAACTGTGCAATATCAATATGCTTTTCTTAGTTCTCAACAGCTTTTATCTTTCCAAATGCAAGACATATTAAAAATAAACATAGGCAATCCTCAAGTAACAGAATTCTTCTAAATAAAAATAATTATAAGAAAAAACAAAAGACACATCTTAATCCCAATTGCTCCTAATCTTTCAAAACATATTTAAATCATATTTCACAAGAAAATACCTTGCAGTTTCTCATTTATATTATAATACTTTCTAGGATTTCCTAACATCAAAAATAGTTCTATCCTGTAGGTAAGACCCTGTATCACAGCTCTTCATTTTGGTAAAAATATAGGATATAAATATAGTAAATGAAGTCCTTAATAAAGAAAGATATTTATGCTGCTGCAATCTCTGCACTGTCCAATCCAATCCAAGTAACTGGGCAAAGAAAATCAAGCTCATAAATTTATTTGACTGACGTTGGGAATTCATTTCATCAGTACAATATTCTTAATAGTTTATTTTTACACTCTTTATTATATTTATTCTCTGTGAATTTGTCAACAATATAGGCAAATTTGAGATTTATAGATAATTGTCATTAAGACAGGGAAGCTATAATCTTATTAGCAAAGACATGGTGCTAACAATATTTTCACCAACTGTAAGGTTGAAATATTACAGATATATGTATCTAAAGCCTAGTTAAATATTGTAACAATTCATCTTTGTTTTGATAACATACTTTGTATAATAAACAGAATCTTTTCTGATTTAAAAATATGTTAATTTTTAAAAATTATCCTTACTTCTTTCACAAACCACTGGCAAAAAGCTGGACTGATCCATTCTCTTGCATGGATTCCACAGTCTATCCACACAGCTTTCTTATAAACCCTTGTTCTTTTGCCTAGCTGCAATTGTAAAAATACATACATAAAAAAAAAGAAAACTATGGATGGATGGAAAAAAATTAAACACATATTCTGCCAATGAAAGGTGGCAACTTAGTGAAATGTTCCCCTTTTTAATGGATACTTAACAGAATGTGGAAATACTGTAGTAAAAGAAATAGGTCTCCTTTAGCTTAATGTAGTTTCCTATATCTTTGGTTTTTGAGTTTATTATCTTACAAAAAATATGTACTTTCATTTCACAATAGTTTCAAGAGAACATAGTATATTACTAACCTATGTTTGACCTATATTTTTGTATATTTTTTCTCTTTTTTGTTAAGTGGAGAGATTGCTTGAGCAAGCTCTCTCTCCTCAGCAGCTTTTCTCTGTGGTGCCTTCCTAATAAGCACTAACCAGAAGCTAACAGGTTCCATTCCATGACCTTAATAAATAAATTAGTTACTCTAGCCTGGCTCAGGCTGCTGACAAATTTCTACTTTGACCTTAGTAAGTTAATAACTGACAGCTTTCCCCCTCCAGATTTGGAGAAGCATGCACATAGCATCAGAAATACCTGGTGCAGCCAGCATCTGACTTACAGATGGTAAGATCAGCTGGGAAGGCAGAGCAAGTAGAACACAGGGCGAGGGAGACTTTTGGGTTTTTCACTTGTAGTGCTGGGGTGGCTAGCTATGGCACAGCCATTGAGGTAGAACTTGGTGGACCTAATGGCCCTAGGACCAAAGTGACCGATGAGGAGTATCACTATGTAGGATGGTTGAAAGAGCAGAGATGGGGAGGGGATAGGTGATGACGGGAGTTCAAAAGAAGGCAGTCTCTTTGAGGCTCAAGGCTAGAAGGGACCAAGCTGGGAATGGTTTGGATAGAGGTGGGTCCTTGCCTAATGAAGAGTGGGATTCTGTTAACAACATCAATGATGGACTGCTGGGGATTGCTGTTGCTAAGTAATAGGGCCATGTGACATTGCACTATGACTGCTTAAGGATGTAAATTACAGTCTCAGTTGCGATAATTAACAAAGGACTACTGTAGCACACACACAAACTCATTTCCTCTTAGTTAATTATCCCATCACAGGGGTAAACTTTGCTAAGGGTGGGAGAATGAGATAAATATCTGTCCAGGGAAAATATCTTCCTCATGAGTAAAATTCTGGAGACTGTCCTGGGCTGAGACTGGGCTCATTCCAGCTGAAGAAGCTCTTTGTGGTTTGAATATATTTGGGGAACTTTATTTAATAAGCTTTATCAAAATTTTGTTGCCATAATATGAATTCTTCTTTTTACATAATAAGAATTAATTAATTAAACTCTGATAAGCTGACTCTCACTAAGAAAGGCTTGAGCATTGGGCCCTATCTAACAAAGTGAAATTCAATGGTGAAAAAAATAAGGTTCTACATTTAGGCAAGAAAAACCAAATGCACAAGTATAGTATGGGTGGTATCTGGCTCAACAGTACTAACTATGAGAGGGATCTTGGAGCCCTAGTGAACAATCATTTAAATATGAGCAGCAGTGTGTTGCAGCTGCCAAAAGAAAGCCCACACAGTTCTAGGCTGTCTTAACAGAGGGATAGAATCAAGATCATGTGAAGTGTTAATACCGTTTTATAACACCTTGGTAAGACCACTCTTGGAATACTGCATCAAGTTTAGGTCACCACGATGTAAAAAAGATGTTGACACTCTGGAAAGAGTGAAGAGAAGAGCAACAAAGATGATCAAGGGACTGGAGGCTAAAACATATAAAGAACGGTTGCTGGAATTGGGTATGTCTAGTTTAATGAAGAGAAAGACGAGGGGTGACATGATAGCAACGTTCCATTATCTCAGGGGTTGCCACATGGAAGAGGAGTCAAGCTATTGTCCAAAGCACATGAAGGCAGGAGAAGAAGCAATGGATGGAACTAATCAAGGAGAGAAGCAACTTAGAACTAAGGAAAAATTTCCTGACCGTTAGAACAATTAATCAATGGAAGAACCTGTCTCCAGAAGTTGTGAATGCTGCAACACTGGAAGTTTTTAAGAAGAGACTGGCCAACCATTTGTCTGAAATGGTATAGGACAGGGGTCTGCAACCTGCGGGCCACCGGACCGCAGGAGTGACTGGCCAGTGCATGTGTGCACTCACCCCCTACTTGCACGAGCGCTGCCCTGAGCTTTGCATGCACTTACCCCCTACTTGTGCGAGCGCTCCCGAGCTTTGTGTGGGTGCTAGTGCCATCCCGAGTGTCACATGGGCGCTAACAGCCCTGTTTATGGTGCATGGGGACTAGTGCTGCCCCAAGCGTCACGTGGGTGCTAGCGGCCCCATTTGTATCGTGCTAGCGCCATCCCATGAGTTGCGTGGGTGCTAACTGCCCCGTTTGTGGCACGTGGACTTTAGCAGTCCCATCTGTATTGTGCAGGTGCTAGCGCTGTCCTGAGCATTGCATGTGTGCTAGCAGCCATTTGTGGTACGTATGTGCTTGTGGCCATGTTTGTAGCACTCGCAGACTTGTGGCCCCGTTTGCGCATGTGTGCATAAATGTGCCTGCCTCTCTATTTGCCTCCAGGCTGCCAACCCAGAAAGGTTGGCCTCTGGTATAGGGTTTCCTGCCTGAGCAAGGGTTGGACTAGAAGACCTCCAAGATCCCTTTGAACTCTGTTATTCTGTAGTATCTCCTTTGAACAGCAGACTGTACGAATCATAGCAATCTGCAGAAGCAGTATGTCTACCAGAGCAATAGACTGGAATTTGTTCTTTGAGTAGAACCTCTTGATCTCTTAGGATCAGATCTGTAAGGTCATTTCCAAGTCTATAATTTTTATTTTCAAGCAAGAGATTTTTCTATGCGAACCATTGTTTATAAGTAAAATAATATGCATCTGTGTTTTTATATGTGCATATGTAATGGGAATTGCTATGTTTTGGGCAGAGCAACACAACTGGTGTTTAAGTTACCTACTGTGGTTATATATTAGAAAATACTGAAATAAGCAAAAATTTGATGGGTGTAAAAGTTAGACGAGTCTAAGTAGAGTTAATATGAATTCTTTGTGCATTTAACAATTTTTCTTTTTAATACATTAAAAATAAAAAAGCTATTGGCAAATTTTGGTAGATTTCTGTGATGTCCACTCAAGGTTTTCAGGGATTGTAAGTGACCCTCTGGGGCCTCAGCTTGTGACTTCAGATACAGGGTAGGTATACAGGATTATATTTTGCTTCCATAAGTAAGTAATTCCTTATTCATTTGTCTTGATACCACGTCATTGCACCAATAATGTTTTGTCAAAATTTACCTTTAGCACAAAAAGTGGTCTTCCCTCATATGACTTGCCAACAGAAAACATGTAGATGAGATCAGAATGAGTTTTATTTATATAATACATCCAACTTTGAATCTGAAAAAAAAGAGAAAAAGATATATATATATATATATATGTATATATATATATACATATATATATATATATATATATATATATATATATATATATATATATATATATATAAAATTTTGTCATTGAATAAAATAAATATAACTATATACAGTAAGTATAACAGAAAATAATAGTTCTAGTTTTCTTTCTCTTATTAGGTTTTCCAATTTATAAATTTTAAAATCTTACATCAAAGATTAATTTTTGTTAAAGCAAAGAAAAATGTTATTTTGCCATTTCCCTGGCATTTTCTTATATAAAAATAAAAACACAAGAGTGAAAATATATATTACATACTTCTTCCAGTGAATGATATATTTCATAACTATATTCGGGAAATGATCTACGATTCCTAGGTGGCTTCGAATCACTTTGTTTTTCTATAGTTTTTTGCAAATCAGATATGAGGACTCTATATCAAATAGAAAACAAAAAAGAAAAGAACACTTTAAATAAATGTGTGATATAATACAAAGGAATGGAAAGTTACAGTATATAGCTAAAGTAAACATTTTAATACTGTACAGACTATTTATGACATTTAATAACCCAGGAAAATTGACTGTAAGAACATAATGTAGCATGTTGTAAAGCAAACATTGTATTTTGGAATTCAGCAATAAGTTGGGGGGAAAAAACCCAACCAAAACATATAAAAACAACAACAGAAAAATGTGTTTGAATTGACTGAAAAAACAAATAAAAACTAATTAACCGGCATTTAAAGGGTATTTTCTTCATCTATGAGTGATAATAAATATGTGCTGAAATGAAACAATAACTACAGTGCAGGATACAATCTGTGTTGCTCACCAGGATCAGAGATTTTGGCTAGCCAGAGAGACTTCCTGGGGATGGATTCCAGCAAAACTCTGAAAGTTCAGAAGACAAACTCTTTGGTCCCAGGGACCGACCCAGATTGGATCTTGCCACGTTATCCTGAAACACATATATTCGCCTTCATTCATAATAACTACAGTATTTACTGTACCTAAAAGAATATGTGTAATTTATTCTCCCAATAAGTAGCTAAAAGCTGAGGGGTAGGCAGGAGGTGCAAGTGTCCTCAGGCACTGCTGCTGAAAACAATGAGTACTTTTAAAATTTAAAGATTAGCTGGGTTGCTTGGGAAGGCTGTTTACCAATTTATTTTTCCCCGCTAAAACTTAAACAGGATTCATACCCCTTTCTTGAATCCTTCTATAGTTACTTCCATTATCATCATCATCCAAGTAACTGGACAGTTTCGTTTTGAGAGGACAATCCCTCAGCTAGCTTGCTTGGTTTACAGATGACAGGTTTCACTTTTTAAACCTTTCTTTTTCTTAATATAAAAATCTGCTAGGGCTTGTGAAGTGTCAAGAAAAGTACCCACAGGAACACTTTCAGCACTCCAGAATTAGCTGCTGTGCTCAGGTTTTGCTAAAATTGTTGGGTTTTTTGTGCTCAAAGGTGATTCTTTTAGCCATGAGAACTTTAGAAAGTTTGAATGTGTAATGTCAAGAAAAGTACATTAAGGAAAAGTTAAGAACCTGTATGTCAGCTTTCTGAATAAAGTAAAATTTATTTATCCATTATAATTTCCTTGCCAGACAAATCCTTACCCTTTCCATCTAAGAGAGAAATTTGATAAATGCTTGTTAAGTTGTGCCACTAATTGTTATAATGTGACAGGTGTTGGCTGGCATAGTGCACCACAATAAATATACATTCAAGCATATAATTTAAAAACATGTGGATACTTGAAGTTATAATATGCTTGTACTAGGGAGAATTACTGCTTTTTTAACAAACAAAAAGAGGCCTCATGCACTAAGGAGACACTAGTCTACATTGTATAGACTCTATAATTAGATATCTTCCACAGGAACTCTTTCCGACTTCTCTTCAAATATATACTCTCAGTTATTTAATTACAAGGACATGCTGGCATAACTGATTATTGTTTCTAACAAAACTTAAAAAGAAGATTTTAAAATATTATACAAAAGATTTTCTGCCACTAAAATCCATGCTTACGTATATTGGATGTTTGCTTGCTCTAAGGAGAACTGAAGAATCTGTGAACTATTTCTTGATAGATGTACATCTGTAATTGCACCCATGGAGATGAGAGATGGGCTGCTTGGTTGCCACAGGTCCACCTGTAGTGCAGCAACCAACCTGTAATTCACATTTATTCAGTCTATATTGGAAGCACCCATGAAATTAATAGGTCAAAGAGCATATCCTCTTAAATTTTTCAGTAAATAGCAGAGATTATTGCTGAATCATTAGTAAATAATCTATTGATGTTTTCCACACATTGAGAAGTACACATACCTTGAGCAGTAGGGTTTGTTTAACTTCATTTTCAATGGGGAAAAAAACCAACCCAAATTTGAATTATTTTAATCCAGTTTTCTATTTTATTTTACTTTAAAAATACAGAAATAAATCCTGAAAAACTAATACTGCATAACATGGATCTGTTTTAGCTTTCAAGTGCATTTTCAATCTTAGCACATCTGACTTTCCCATTTAGCAAACTCCAGGTGTGTTTTCACTGCCAGTGTAATTCTAACAACTATTGTTCCAATACAACTAGCAATTATCAAACCTCTTTGCAAAAAAGTGTGTCTTCCACTCAGGATGATAATATTTTAAAAAAATATTTTGTTAGAAAGGTAGTTAGGAGAGTAATGTATGACTACATATAGGTTACTACTCATAAAGAAAATTGCTTAAAACAGCAGGAATACAGTTAGAGGATGGCCTGTTACCTCATAATATAAACAGTTCAAAATGTGGCAACCACTTAGAACTCAAGTAAAAATAGCAGTTCTGTTTGCAAATGTCCTACAGCAGTGATGGCAAACCTTTTAGAGACTGAGTGCCCAAACTGTAACCCAAAACCCACTTATGCATCGTCGGGTGCCGGGTGGGTATAGCCCATTGAGTGGGTGTGGCTGCGGTGGTAACTCCAGGCTGGGTGGGACTAAAAAGTTCAATCAATCAATTCCAACTTTGCAAGATCTTTTTTTCCCCTGCGAGAAGTTGAAATTGACTGATTGATGGAACCTTTTTTTTTGCACATGGCGGCGGAGGACTAAAGTGAAAAGGTTTTATAAAACCCAGCTGAAGGCCTAGGACTGGGGTATTTCTGATCACTGCTGGAAATGTGAAAAACATAAAAGGTCATTTTATTATGCATGGTGGACTTAGAAATATGAAGAGCCACGGTGGTGCAGTGGTTAGAATGCAGTATTGCAGGCTAAATCACACTCACTTTAAGTTGTTGAGAAAGGATCTTCAATGTCTCTGCCATTTGGTCATTCTCTGGTATAATCCGTATCACCTTATGTCTGTAAAATAATATTAACATTAAACCCTAAATCTTATACTATTTTAGCAAGAAAATAAAATACTAAAATGATATAACCCTGAAGCAGAAATAAAATGCAGTAATTTGTATTTCTTAACTGGATGTGCTCCAGATGGGTTGATCTTCAACTACCATAATTCCCAGCAAGCCTGACCAAAGGCAAATACTAGCATTGAATTTCAGCACATATTGAGTAGTTCTGAAACAGATTGAGCAACGGAAATGCTTTCTTATGGCATGTATTATTTATTATGAAGCATTTATGCTAATCTGGATTAACTAGATCAGTTCATTTTGGCACAAGAGACCAAGGAACAGGAAATCCAGCCTTGCTTTCAGCTGCTAGCACACTTATTTGCACTGAGCTTTCTAATACAAGAATCTTTCAGCTGTGCTGTATACTTTGATGTGTTCCTTAGCTCTGATTCACTGGAACTCTCTCTTCAGCATAGCCCTTGGCTTGACTGCTATCTACTGAAACCAGGCTGAGGAAGGCTTTCATATGTATTGAAAAAGGAAATGTAAAGCAACAACCCCCAAGAACAATTTTAGTAATATAATGACCATTTTACATCTGATAAGCTGCTCAAATGCATTATTAATAATATATAACCCATACTAGACAATGAATTACAGATATGCTAAAGGTATGTCTTTTTCTCCTATATTCTCTCAAATAGTGGTTTCTGTTGGTTAGGGTCCAGTTCAGATCAAAAAAGAATTACCAACTCATGTCACATTACAATCCATGTATGATGCTGTTGCTTGTCAGCTATGCTGAAGATATGCGTGCAAACATATCCAAACAGACTTGGTCTGAGATTTATAATACTAAAGTTTGAACTCCACTAGATTAAATGAAAATTTGAAAAAGAGTGAATTGTGTGACTAACATAATTTGATGCACAAACTATTGAATTTATTTTATCTATTTTGCCATTTTCTGTAAAATATATAACAAATATATTGTCTTTATTGAGGCAAGGTTACATTTCATTGTATACCTATATATTCCTTACTTCTGCTCTATATTTCTTACCTTTGCTTACTATATTTATATTTCACAGGGGAGTTTCTACTGATAGTCATCATTAATGGATAAAGTATGTACTTGGCAAATACAAAATAATTAGAAAATCCTTCCTTCTCCAAAACAGTGAATATACGGGCACAGAGCAGAATTAGATATATTTGGAGAATGAAACACAAATGATAAAGAAGGACAGTTAAAGATACCTTGAACCCTCAAAGTATATTTATTATCAATTGAATAAATATTAATATTTAATATTCAATATTTAATACTCAGGAATGGTAAGAAAGAAGATTGTTTAAATTTGTAAAATTTATTGTTAATTATAACAATGCTGTATCAAGTGAATTATTGATCCTACACCCCAGCCACCTTGATCTATACAGGATGCTTAAATACAAGTTTAAATACACAAAGATCAAGTGGAGATTATTTAAGGTATCCCATTTTTATTCTGCAGATATTTATGAGGTATTAAGTTTGTCACATTCTAAAGTTTCTAGGCATTTTAGCTAAATGAATATTGAAAAATTAGAGTAAGATTTATACATATACTGAGATGATTAATGATCAATAAAATATTGAGGATAAATATTGATATACTGCCTGACATTGTTTCTTGACTATTTATGATCTTTCCTGCGATATAATTCAACTAGGTCTTGTGTACATTTATTATGCAATCCTATTCCTTTCATATCAATATATCATATCAAATTACCTTGACTTTAATACAGGTAATTCTCACTTAACAATGGTAATTTGGACTGGAATTTCCATCATCAGCTGATGTAGATGTAAAGTGACAGATTACATGACCACACCACCTAACAATGGAAATTCTGGCATTTTCTATTGTTGAGTGAATAACTATGGGTTTTTAAACAAGTAGTCTCTGTTTGGGACCTCCTCTCCTGCCAACTCCTATTGACTTTGCTTGTAGGAAGCTGGCAAAGAAAGTTGTAAATAGAAAATCTAAGTATCCCCTTAGATCAATACTAGTAAGTAGAAGTCTCTTTAATGAGTGGTACAACCAGTCCCAAACTAAATCACCATTTTGCACTTGTACAGTCTAGTGATTTTTTATATAAAGGTCAGTGTACTTGTAGTCATAACTTTCATTCTTTTAAGTAACATATCTTGCATAATTAGAGCATCATACTGTACAAATCCCCATTTTGAATTGTCTAGACGCTAGCAGCTTATAATTTTCACTATTTCACAGCCCAAGCTGGTTTATATAGATAATGGGGATGTGAACATAATAGAACCCTTTTTCAGTTAAATTGCAGTCCCCTTAGTTTCTGCTTTGTCCATTAAAGATTTTGTTCCCATGATTATCAGAACTGCACTGCAAAAACTAAGCTATATGAAGATAGCTGAAAAGCCAAAAGGATTAAAAAGATGTGTGGAAAATGGCAAAATATGGCAACCAATAACAAAACCATGGACAATAAATAAAACACCAAATTCAAAAAATCAAAATAAACCTAAGCAAAATAAGTAATATCATGATCAGTGTCCAACCCTTCCTTTGCTATAATTCATGTCAAAAGGAATGTGTGTAATGAGTTTTTGCATACTTTTAAAGGAGCTCACCTTTGAGTAAAAAATGCTAATGATTACTTTGAAAGGTGAGAAATTATTCAAAATTAATTATTTTTCTTATTTTTTTCACATTTCTTTTTACCACAGTAAAATGAACAACCACTTTTCCCAGTGTGGGTTAATATAGTCCCACAAAAACAACTCTGCTTGCCCATTGTTTTATTATTTATTCATCTATCTATTTTCCTGGACTACCATGTCACATTAAGGGCTATTAACTCTGAACATTTTACCCACCCATATTTGTAAATACTATTAACAAATGCAACCATCACTGTACATTTCCTCTTACATATCAAGGATCATTTGTTTCATTAGTCCTGCTGGAGCAGCCAGATTTTAAAGAAGTTCCTAAATCCCAGCAGGAGAGAGACCATGCTGTTCCAAAAAATTAAATACTAAGGGATAAAATTATGACATTAAATAGCACAATATTACCGTAATCTATCATATTTATCCTGATAATGAAAATAGGGGCACGTCGCCTCTAATAAGCGGGAACTGAGTTTAAACATCAGCTAACAAATTTGAGTGATAATCCAAAAACAAAACTCAACAACGACCACCGCAGTGGAAAAAAGCCACGTGCAAACGGAGTAGTGAAGCCCGCCAAGGTCGCGAGAGCAGAGCAAAGTAGATTTACCCGGCATAGCGGTTGTCGTAAAGATAATTTAGTCCGGACAACTCAGCCCGCTGCTGGACGAGGAGCAGCCCAAAGGACAGGAAAGAAAGCGCTAGGCGGGGAGCTTTCATAGTGGCCGCCGCCGCCGCCGCAGGATCCCGAGAGAAGATGTGATAAGACCTTCGCCCTTTTGCGTGTAAACGGAGCAGCCACTCCGACGGGACGAGGTTTGGAATGGGAGGGAGGAGCAGAGGGTTGGAAAGGGTTTTCTTCTTTTCCTTTGGGGGCGGGAGAGAGAGAGAGAGAGAGAGAGAGAGAGAGAGAGAGAGAGAGAGTAGAAGAAATTGCAGGTCTCGGATACTTTGTCAGGTAAATTCAGTCGAAATAATGAACAGCTTCGAATGGACTGTGACTGCCATCATTCCCAGCTTTTATTAAGTTAGGTGGCGATGATGAGGGTGGTACTCCTACAATGAAGGCATCAAGCTTGTGGGGAAGGAGGGAAGGGTTCTCTTAAGAGATTAAAAATTTTGAGAATTGAACCATCAAAGTATCTTGTGGTATTTTAAAGACTAGCAAGTGACTTATGGCATAAACCTTAATGGATTATAAACTCTGAGTTTAAAAAGAAATTAAAGAGAGACAGTAACACTTTAATTATTATAAATAGTATAGATAGTGATGAATATTCCATTAATTGCCCTAGATAATGAGTTTTCAGTTTGGTTTTCACAATGAGATTGCAGCTTTGCTGTAGAATTAGGGGCCAGTTTTTCAGGAATGGTTGTGAAATTTTGGGCAAAAACAGGTGTATGCAAAACAGAAAAAGTAGGAAAACAAGTATGTACTATTCTAAGAATGATTATTCCAAAATAAGACCTTACGTTTTTGCATGTTGTATCTATCATAAACTGAATCATGATTTACTGAAAGGTGATTTTTGGGCTTGTATAATTGCACCAAATCATTGGCTGGGTTTGCATAACACATTAGATTTGCTATGGATTTTTAGAAAGCTGTATGTGAAAGGGACTTTTAGAGATTCCTAGGATATGTATACATGCAAAAGACTTCAATCTAAAACCCTGACATGTTGTCAGTCAATTAATAGGAAATACAAAGCTAGATGAACTGATGGTTTGACTCAGTACAAGGTTATTTTGTGGTGTAACAAAGATGACTAAAAAGCCCTGGTTGTGCAGTGGTTAAAGTGCAGGATTGCAGGCAAACTCTACCTACAGCCTGGAGTTAGATCTTGACAAGGCTCAAGGTTGATTCAGCTTTCCATACTTTCAAGGTTGGTAAAATGAGGACCCAGATTGTTGGGGGCAATATGCAACTAATACTTTTACATTGTAAAACCATCCAGAGAGTGGTGTAAAGTAGCGGCCCCCAACCTTTTTGGCACCAGGGATTGGTTCTGTGGAGAGATGTTCTTCCGTGGACCAGAGGGGGTGTGGTTTCACATGCTCCCTGCATCCTGTGGATGGGGCTTCACTTGCTTGCGCAGCCTGATTTCTGGCATGCCGCAGACTGGTGTCAGTCCACAGACCAGGAGTTGGGGACCGCTGGTGTAAAGTGTAAGGGGCAGGATAGAAGCCTAAGTGCTATTGCTATTCCTGTTTTCTGAATCAGATAGCAGTGTAATTGTATCTATGATTGCATAAGTCATTCTGTGACCTTACAAAAAATGCAGATTATATCTGTCTTCAGTACAGACAACATGAGATGGTTGTTCACACCTATACAACTACTGAAAATATGGGCCTTGATTTCTTTGGTACCCAGAATAGCTGAAAATAAAGATTTCCTGATTACACAAAAATGAAAGCTTTACCATCAGACTGACATATTGCTTTTTCTTGCCATTTGACAGTTTAATTGGCAGTGCCTCATGTGATGGGTGCCTGTGTGCCGGCAGGGTTAATCCAGTGTAGCACATGTTCATGCTTTGCAAAGCTCTTGTAGAGAAACAACAATAATAAATAGCTGGAGGCATATGGCCAACAGAAGACTGTGCTTTCCATTAACAACAACAACAACAAAAAATGGTATCTTGGTATTTTTCAGTTTCCAAACAACATAGTCTCGATGGCAAAACATTTTTTTTTTCAGCCAACAGGGATAAAACTGTTTTTATTTATATTACACAGAGAGTTCATCAGTTCAGAATCTTGAAGTATTGCAAAAAAAAGTAAGCATAGATATGATTTAAACAGAGATAATTTCTATTACTGTAGTATTAGTTGGCTGCTCCCTTAGTGGAAAAAAACTCCAAGCAAATAGGACATTAAATGAAATGGGATTTGACGGTCCCTAGCCAATGTGTATGGAATTAACTGTTTCCCAGGATTACTATTATATATGAGGATTGAAAATTTTCTGCAGTAGGTCTTCTGGTTGTCTCATACAATATATTGCCCATAAGGGAGGCTCAGTGACAAAGAATTGGTGGTTTTGAATTGTGTTGGAGAAGACTCTTGAGAGACCCTTGGACTGCAAGGAGATCAGATTAGTCAATCTCGTAATCAAGTAACCACCCTGACTTCTTCTTTGGAAAGGCAGATAGTAAAACTGAAGCTCAAATGTTTTGCCACCAAATGAGAAGCGAGGACTTATTGAAAAAGACCCTGATATTGGGAAAGATTGAAGGCAAAGGAGAGGAGATATCTAGATAGTATCATTGACACAAAGGGTGTGCTCTGGAAGACAGTGAAGGACAGGGTGGCCTGGAATGCTGGGGTCCATGGGGTTGCAAGGGATCGGGCATGACTAAGTGACTGAACAAAGTAATTTAGAATAGGATAAAAAAAATCATTTAAAATTAATTTGCATGCTGCTTGTCTTTAAGGGAGTCTTGAAGACCTGGCTCATTCCACACAGACGCTGGGCCTTTGCTTTGGGACCCCACTGTTGAACATTATTTTTTGTTTTATTTCTCCTCTCCTGGCATAGTTATTCCTGTTTTAATTCATTTGTATTCATTACAACCCATAATTTTATACAAACGTGTTATCATTGTATCTCTGGTAAGCAAAGGAATCAAGTGAAAACTTTTTTTAAGCTTAATGGTAAATCCAAATTTGATAGTGTCAACAGATCTCCAATATCCAGTAATGTTGGATTTATCAATAGATTTTGATGGCTGTATTCTGCAAAACTAAGATTTTTATCCATTTCAATTGTTCATTGGTGGAAGACCCAAAAGACTAGATTATAAATAGATTGTTATGGAGAAAATCTATCAATAGACTAATAGTTGACAATGGCTTGATGGCGCATAACAGTTCTCTAAAAGGGATGCACTTTAGGTCTGCTTTTTGTTTTGGCAAATATATTTGATTGTAATGGATCATTTTAAAATTATTTTGTCCTTAATTGAGTACCTTGGTGTAATTTACATGGAAGTATAGGTATTTTGTGCATTGGTCCATAGGGTGGGCATGCTCCTAGTCCCTTCCCTTAACTGTTGTCATCTTAAGGTACTGAGGAAGCATGCCTTTTTTTGTGATAGCCCTGTCCTATGGAACACCCTTCCCCACACTTCTAACTTTTCAAAAGGCATTCTATTCCTCAAGTGCTGGGATAGAGTGAGATTATATTTATTGTGGGTTACATAGGTAAGTTTGGCTGTGGTGCCAGGTCTTTTGGTTTTAATGTTTTTTATAAATATTAAATAGATATTATAAATAGTTGTAAATAGATTTTTTAATGTTTTGATTGTACACAACCCAGAGTTTGGTACAAGATGGGCGGCTATATGAACATTAAAATAAAATAATAAAATAAAATAAAATAAAAAGCAGAATGAAGAATACGTAGTGAATTTCAAATTGAGCTATGGATTAGAAAGACAAGTACTGTGCCCCTTCTCTGCCCTAAATTTATTTGGAATCCTAGTGAAATTATGGATTCAAAATATTATCCTTGCTTCAATTATATGGGGTAATTCAATTGATTTGCCATTCAGATTTATTTAACTTGTTTCCCATTTAAAATATTTTATTAAGGAAAAATCAATAAGGAACATTTATAGGAAGAGCGGTTTGGTATAGTGATTAAGGCACCAGGCTAAAAACTGGGAGACTATGAGTTCTAGTTTCACCTTAGACACGAAGCCAGCTGAGTGGTGAGGGTAAGTTATTCACCCTCAGTCTAGGCATTGACAAGCCAGTTTTGAGAATCTTGCCAAGAAAATTAGTCTACGCAGTTGTCAGGTGTCAGCATTCACTCAGAGGTGTGCAGATATGTGTGCGCACACGCACACTCACACGCACATAGGCGCACAGGCAAAAAGATTCAGTTATAGGACAATGTTGTAGGACATGTCTTTAAGAGTATTATTTGATATTCCCAAACAAGTATGGGGAAAAAAACTATTCTCTTCCACTAAGCAGTGGTTTATTGCTCATTATTGGATTATATCCAGTAGCAGATTATGAGTAGGCTTTCTCTAATTTCAGAACCATGAAATTAGAATTAATTTAGAAACAGTATAATTTTCTGCCATCTAGTGTCAGAAAAAAAGGTCTTGGGCTTGCACAATTAATTGAGTTCATATGGTTAAAAAACTATCAAAATTCTGAAAAATGTTTGAACAGATCTTAATGTCCAATGTTGACTGAATAAAGTCCAGTTAATCCAGACTATTCAATTGTATCCATAAATAAATGTGCTTGGGGGAAGCAGTTCACCCCAGTCATTAGTATCAATTTAAGTAAACAGTTGATTAAAGGAACCATTTGTGAGAAATCAGGTGAAAAATAAGAAACTTTTAAAAATATTTTTTAAAAGGCCCCAGTTTCTGACTCCTGTTTTTAAATGCAAGGTTGGTCTGTAATAAAGCCTCCCCCATCTGCAATCCAATCATCATAGGGCTGACCTGGCATGTATTACTGGTTTTGGCTGAGCCCAGAAGGAGGGCATGGCCCTTCAGAGATATGTTAAGCTGAGATGGAGTCAGCTGAGGTATGGCATCAGTTGACAAGGAGCAGGGATGAGAGTGTGGCGATTGCACCTTTCAAGGGTGCTGCTCCATAGGTCATTGGATAGGAGCCCTGTTCATTTAATTGGGCTCTAGGGTTCAATTGGGATTGTTAATGTTGTATTAGTAGCCTCCCTGCTACACAGATTGCACTTCCTGTCTGAGCAATTTTGCACAATATATTTAATAGTTTGCATATCAGCACCACAATCACAACAAGGGGAATCTTTCCATCCA